TTCTTCTCTTGAACTAGATATGCCAGGTCAGCTCTGCCTCAAAGTTTGGGTCTTAATTTAATTTCCTCCTGCTTCGAATAAGTACTCTGGATTTCTGGTCCTAGCCTTCTTTTCACAGTTCTTGAGCTGCACAGAGAAAGCTACTGCCACCTCCTTCTACAAAATTAGTATTTTTCATTATGCAACCATCACTCTATGAAATTCATCATTAAAAAAGAAGATGCCTCCACTCACCAGGCTAGAAAGAAAATACAGTGTACTCCAACAGTTCCCTGCGTGCTGAGGACTAGGGACCTACAGCTGTGGGATGCACTTTGGTGTCCCTTACCCAATGCACAGGTGCTGTTTCTGGGAGCTATCGTCTTTCCATGCTTCCACTGGCAAGCCCAGGCCTGAGAGAAGAATCCTATGTTATTGTGACCACTCTCTGGATTAGTTGCAGAAAGGATTTCTGCGTTTACTCACCATTGTGAAATTTAGCTTCACTTTTTGTGGATGATGTTTTAAGCAGAAGTCAGTCATCTACTTGAAACTAAAAGAAAGGCTGTGCTATTTCTTACCTTCATTAACAAGCACCTGTAAATAATCACATATGAGGCAGACTGTCAGGGAAATCCTAGTCCCATTTCAGCAGCTGGATACTATTTTGAATAATCTTAGCAGTAATTTAGCTAGGAGACACATTCAGCATTAAGAATCAAACCCAATTTTAAGAGACATTTTCACAGAATCCCAGGCTCGTTTGAGTTGGAGGGGACCTTAAAGATCATCTAGTTCCAACCCCCTGCCATGGGCAGGGAGATCTTCCACTAGAGCAGGTTGCCGAAAGCCACGTCCGACCTGGCCTTAAACACTGCCAGGGATGGGGCAGCCACAGCTTCTCTGGGCACCCTGTGCCAGAGCCTCACCACCCTCATAGTGAAGTATTTCTTCCTAATATCTGATCTAAATCACCCCTCTGTCAGTTTAAAGCCATTTGCCCTTGTCCTTGTGATAAGTCCCTCTCCAGACTTCTTGTAGGCCCCTTTAGGTACTGGAAGCTGCTCTAAGGTTTCCCCAAAGCCTTTTCTTCAGGCTGAACAAGCCCAGCTCTCTCAGCCTGTCTTCATAGGAGAGGGGCTCCACCCCTCTTTGTGGCCCTCCTCTGGACTCACTCTAATACTATGTATTAGACCTACCTACCACTAGCCTATTAGAAAATACACAGCATGTGTTAACATACCTTTACAAATTCTGTAAATCCAAATTAAATTCCTTTTGCTAAAAAGTATATTCTACCTGTCTGTATTTTAGTAATAAAGCTTCACTAGTAAGCATCCTTTTAAAGTTCCTTATGTTTAAAAGTTTATCTTTCTCACTGAAAGAAGAGGTGAAAGAAGCAAACAGTTTCCCTTCCGAGAACTATTATAACCTACAGGAAATTCAAATGTTTTGTTGTGTGGGTTTTTTTTTAAATCTGAAAAACAAACTATTTCCCCAAAAGGCAACTATTCAGTGCCAACATCTAATTCACAATATTGCTTTAAGTATGATATAATGCTTTAGGTAAAGCCTGAATTTTACATTTCTCATAAATTAACAAAGACGCAAGAAACAGAAATTTCTTTCAAAATCTGAAACCCAAAAGTGAGAAAATCCAGCCACAACTTCAAACCTAGCCATTCCTACAAGAAACAGGATGATGTTTTCTTTAGTAAAGCTTTAGTTGAAAACCAGTATTTTCATACTGGCTCAATAAACATGACCACTGAGAAAATGTCTCTGCCCAACGAAGGGGTCTCACAATTTCTTATCTCAGAAGTATTGACAAGATTGATAGAAGAAAATAATGCAGTTAAACCTCAAGGTGCTGAAATACTGCACTGAAAGATACCTGCATAGTAACAGGATGAGTATCTCTTCTACCAATTTGTCGCTACAACACACGGCTTGTAAGCAGCTGCAAGAGCTGAGGCTAGAGATTTGGTTGTTTGAAGCTATTTTGCCTTTTGCAAAGTAAATGTGTAGATAAATTGCTTCCTGTTTTGTTGGTATGTTAAATACTTCACATGACAAATAAAAAGCAGTAACATGCCATGATAGGTTGTATTTAGACATCTATATTGACACAAAACTGAAAGAATATAATCAGAGCGCAGATGTATTCCCAATATACGAACTGCAATGAAGTTCCATAATGAAGTATTTAGCACTTGTAACACTGATTCTCAGTTAAAATTATTAGGTATCACAGGCTTAGGATATATTTATATATACAGGTTCTGTCAAAGAAGGTAAATTATAAAACCTCAATTCAATTATGAATAAGCCTAGAATTTAGAATAATTAAACCCAGCTCAAGTATCAGTATCAAAAAGTATCTTAACTAGTATTGACAATGCATGGTTAAATCAAACCACGTAGGCAATGCAGAAATTAATATGAACATTGCTTCATTTGTGTTAATTTTTCTGCTATTAAGCTGGCTCTAAACTAAATTTCAGTAGTAGCAGTAGCATCATTTCATAAATTTCTTTGGACATCCACTGAAAACACAGTCATTTTAAACCTTGCATACTTTATCTTTTCAGCTTCTAAGTCCAAAGCATGAGTAACTTACTCAGGTGCATAAAGGCCTGCAGTAGCCACAGAACCCCACAATTCAGTAGGCACAGAAAACAGGCATTTATTGCATAAAGGTATCCACAACTTCTTAGACAGCTGGAAAACCAGCACGATCTAGCAGTTTTGCAAAGTCTAAGCCTAATTTCCTTTTTAAAATCTGTCCAAGTTCTAATATGGAGATTTTAATCATGCAAACACAATACCTAACATGATATTCTTCAAAACTAAAAAGCCCCCCCCCCAAAAAAAAATTTAAAAAAATATTAAGTAACACCTATTCTGTCACGTTCGACCTGAATTAAGATGTTTGTTAATAAATTGGTTAAAACCAAGCACTTTTGTCTATTGAGAGTTCTGGAAAATAACTTACGTTTTCTAACTAGCTGTTGCTTACTTCACTACGGTGAACGACCCATGAGTGTGTTTAGGTAAACTACCTACTCTAAAACCCAGCAAATGAAACCTAGGGCTTATATTACTATGGAACAGAAAGGTGAAACTTCAATTCAGAGGTAGGAACAAGTTAAGTCTTTGTCTTTCATAACAGGCCTTGAGATTTACAGGAACTACAGTGTGTTTGTTTTGCGTTTGGTTTATTTATTTTCAGCCAGCTGTGAGATATAGCTCGTTTTCAAGTTTCAAAATCTGCAGGCTAAAACAGTGTGAGTGTTATGCACTGCTCTAAAAAAAACAATAAAGGACAAATAACCAACACTTGGTCATATGGAGATGAGAATATCTATCGCCAACCTTCAACCTTCACTGGTCAAGTGATCCCATTCAGTCTTCCTGAGCTAGGAAGCAAAAGTCCTGAAGTTTTCTCGTTAAATTCTTCAGTAGTACACTAGATATCCATTATATTGACACTGTAATAAGAGCACTTATGTCAGTACTTTATTGTTTACGTTAATGAGTATTCTCAGAAATGTACATACCACCATAGGGGAACATCTGATATTAGTCTTTCTGCACTCACCCAACTCTAGGCATGATGTGAAAAAAACATTAACAGACTGTGTCAAATCATGTGTTAAAGATTAAATGGGAATGCTTATTCTTTTACTCCAATTATCAAACAGGGTAATTTATGACTGTTGAGGAATACTTCATGCTTACAGAAATCCTTCTTATAGTAAACCCCATTTCACTAAGGGCTCATCCCAAGTATTACTGTGTTACTATGGCAAATAAATAAAACCCTTGTTTCAAGCAGAAGGCTCCAGTTGCTTTGGGACCAAGAATCACTTTGCACTAAGCAAGCTTTCTGCTTGAAGAAGTTATTTTAATTTCATAGTAGGAATATTTTTCACATTTGACACTATAAAGTGTAAAGCCACTCTGGTAGGCATTGCTTTTCCCAGAGGAAGTCTGCTCTTTTAGCTGAGCAAGAGATGACAGGCAGGTCAATAAAGTTAGTCTCATTTTCTGTTTATCTGGAAGTAATTCCAGTTGAGTAGAGATCAGTTGTAACAGCAGATCGATTTTTTGTGTTTTGAAAAGGTGAAGTACTGTAGTATCAGCATCCTTTACCAAGCAATACAAGCGCAGGTATGTTACTTGTACACAACAGAAATGTGACTGCTATCAACTTTCGCTGCCAGTGAGTGTTCTGTTAGACTATGTCTGTAATTCTGTATGTGAGAGTTTCTAACATCTCATTTATGGTACCCCATCACCTCCTCCATCCCTACTTTCAATCAATTCATGTTTCTTCTTTTGCCTTATTGCCAAGCATCGTGCAATGCCCAATGCACCTCCTTTTAAAAACCGTACGAAGTTGTCTCCCACCAGAGGACCTAAAGCAAAGAGGTTGGCTTCTTTAGTGCATTCGTAAGTGTATGGATCAATCTCTATAGGATTCCCCTTGCATGTGATGGGCTGATTAGAGTGATGACCTATACTATGTCCTTGGTCCTTAAGAAAGAAAAGATTTGGGTGAGAACCTATCAGAACTAAGGCTACAGAAAACTTCAAAATTTTCTTCAGTCCGCAGGCACTCTGAAGAACACACTTCATTTCAGGTTTGAAGGAAAGTACATTGTGTTCAGGGAAACTAGTGTAAGCAGAATGTAGATTAGAGTCCACAGTATGGGACTGAGTACACATCATATGATAGACCTTATGGTATTCAGGGTAAAGCTTTTTAGGTAACTGTTTGAAAATTAGACTTGTATCAGTAACTCGTCTACGAAACACATGGATTACTGGGATGTTGTTGTTGTAGGCACAAAGTACGGCATCAGCTGCTGTAAGTCCAGCACCCACAATTAGCACAGGGTCTGGCTTCCCACGTAACTTTCCTTTGCTGATAGCAGCTCCAAAGTCAGACATAGAATGAAGGACAAAAGGAAAGTCTTCTCCTTCAACTTGTAGTCGGCCAGGAGAATCAAAGGTTCCTGTGGCAAGAGCTACATTCTCAGCAAAGAGGCAGAAGGGCACGTGAGAACCATCTGTTGCTCGCTGATAACCTCTGACTTCCCAGTTTCTTTTAATCAGTGAATTCTGTCCGTCTTCCATTTCCAAATGCTGTGTTGAAATATTTTCATTTAGTTGACTTCTGTCTTCATCATCCTTTCCTCGGTAAAGCCGGGATACTGATGTTATGTAAACATTGTCTCTGAAATTCTTTTGGAGGCCCATGACTTTAACGTAGTGTTTATAATAACAAGCTATTTCCTCTGGCATTACTCTATCACTCTTTATATTTCTGAAACAAAATCGAATGGTTCCAGTTAATATATAGACTTTATCAGTAACCTGAATATATGACATACCACAAGACAGTCAAATTTAAGACGATTGAATCTACTCAGTGTAACTGACACTGACCTTAGTATCTTTAAACACATTCAATTTGTTTTCTTTGCTCTCTTGACTCCTGATATACAAGACAAACTAACTTTTTCTTAATAGCTGTAATTCTTTACAATGTGAAGTGCTAGATTTGTACTCAGTGAGAATGAACTGACTTGGGATATGACTAATTAAATATCATAGCAATTGTTAAGTGCTAACTTTGAAAGTCCAGATTTGATACATTACTTGAGTAAAGTATTCTTCATCAGACTTTGTGGAAGACCTCTCCCTTGGGCACAGGTAAGTTCACTAAGTATCAGATTAAGTTCCATGTCACAGGAATGAACAAAGCAAGTATGATACAGAACCTTAACGCAACTATGTAAACAGGGTTATGATGTCCAAGTGTCCACTAAAAAACATTTCTGCACTGCAATCCTGGTATTACATCTACACTTCTCTTACGTTTACTGCATTCTCATTTATAAATTAAGCTGAAAATGTAATTATTTTGAACAGGTGCATGAATTTTGCCTTCTTTAGAAGTAAGCTCTAGGAAGAAGACAAAAGAAACAGTACTGAACATCAGGTTTGCCACTGAATTATGCTTAACAGCATATTTACAACAAATTGGGCGACTCATTCTCATAGATTAAAAAGGTAAGTTATGTGCTTTTAAATGTTCAGGTTACTACTCTGCAAATCCTGATGAGGTTCATTGAAGAGGATAATGCAACAGTGCCGCATCTGTTAGTAAGAAATTTAGGAAACTATTTCATGTGACTCAAAGTTTTCATTATCATCAATACTTTTAAATACGTTTATTTAATTGTAGTATAACAGGGCAGCATTTCTGGGTTTAGTATTGTTGAAAGCTGTAATATAAACAAATTAGCTTCAGATAATAAGCAGCTTATGGGATTTCAGTTGATAAGGATGCAAGATTACTGTGGTTATCTAAGAAAGCTGTTATAGGACAAAGGTATGGTTTCTTCACTGTAAGTGGTGTCCTGAAATGAGTAACAGTCTGCCATTAAAGACATATGCCCAAGTAATTCTGCTTCTTTTGCCATATGTGATACAAGAACAACTTCCTTTAATTTTGCTAGAACAAAGTCAGAAAAATTAAAATTTCAGAAAAAGCTTATGTAGTGTTCCCAGGTTCCTCTGCTGACAGACCTTTATAACTAATTGTATAACTGAAGTAAAAACAGCAAGCTTATACAAGGTGGTAATTTTCATTCTCTAAATTTTTTCCAGTAAACTTACCACTGGAAAATAACATTGGGAAATACTGAATTATACTCTTAAAATATAGATAGCAACATTACAGATGATGCAACTTTGCCTTTTCAATATTTGTAAAAGCAAATACTGAAATACACAACTTGCTAAATTACAAGAAAGCTAGTGTACATAGCAGCTTAAGTTGCTTCCATGTTGAAAGAGGAACTTTCAATACTTCAGTTGATCTTAAATTCTTCCCTCAATCTTCCCTTAGCTGTGACCAAAACTGCTTACAGTAACAGTGCTTCCTTGTGAAATGCTGCTAGAACACATCACCTTCTAGTATGCAGGCTTTCTATGCACTCAAAGCAATTACTCTGGCTGACCATTGTCCATTTTTTTCCATTGGAGTACACACAGCAGAGTAATTTCCAGTGCCATCAGACAATGTAAAAAACAAAACAAGAAGCTCTCTTGTGAACAATGAAGTTTGAATGTGTTCCAGTTCTCAAAATAACATTATTTGGATTCTTAGAGCAACTAGATTTCCCAAACACATTATGCAGTATCTTTACCTGCGTTTGCTGGCTGCCCACTCCTTAAAGCTGAGGCCAGGCAATTCCATCCAGTCTCCAAAACTGATTGTTAGCATAGAGCCTTCCATGGACTGTGGAGAAAAACCCAAGATGCACGACCAGATGCATATCAACCGATACATTTATGCAAAACACAGTGAAGTTCACCTCATTGTACTCAATACCAGAATGTAACACAATTCCAGGACATTACATGAAGTGCTGATGAACTATTTTCATGTCATAGTTAGGTACTATTTTAATAAGCAGCTACATGACCTAATAAAGCAGAAGGAGAAGACAGAACAAATGAAAGAGAAACTAAAACCAAGTTATTTAAAATACAAAACAGGAAGAAAAAAAAATATGAAACCAACAGAATATGATCACATTAAGATTTAATACTTTGTGTAAAAGCACATGGAAACAATGCAGACAACAGAAAAAAAAAAGTCATAGAAAATACGCTTCCTCATAATTCATCACATTTAAGCTAATAAAAATGCCACATAAGACAGCAGTTATGGTCACACATCCCCAAGTAAAGCACAACTTTTTCCTTCCTTTCCCCTCTCCCCAGCATATTTTGGCTTTAGTAATTGAGCAGTTGAAACTGCAATTGCCATTATCATCTAAACCAGCCTTTGACACTAAGAAAAACCCCAAACCACAAAATCACCAAGTTACCATGGAAGTGATATGAAATTTTTACTCACATGCCAAGCCCCTCCAGGTGGTCCTTTACCAAGCACTATATGGGGAATGTAATTATGTTGTTCTAGCTTCCAGTGCAAAACAGGTGGGTAGTCATAACCAAAGTCAGCATCAGGATGAAGCAATGTGTCAAAAAGCACTGCCACTGGGTTTGAAGAGCGACCTTCAAGACCTTCAGACAGGTATTCCAGATCCTAAAGTACAAAAAAAGTGATATGTTCATGCAACTTTTACTGTTCATCATGCTATTCTGATGTACAAAAGTTGAATTTCAACAGAAAACACAAGTTTTAATTAAAGTAGAGGTAAGTATTTAATGTAAAGATTCAATCAAAACACTTTCCAGAAAAACTGCCATGATTCAGTTCTTCTGTAACTTTGAATAATATGTTTTACTTGTTTAAAAGTTATATGTTAATAACACAGTAATACTGGGGCTGGTCAGTATTTGAAATTCATTGTAGAAAAAGAAATACAGGAACAAATACTCAGAGATCAGAGCAACCTAGTAACATTTATGTTTATAGATAGCAGACTGCTTTTAACAAAGAATTGCTAGTATTTCTAGGAGCCTCATTTTGATAAAGCAAAATCGGTATCTAAAAACATCTGAAGATCTAAAAAAGCAAAACCAAGCTTTTATTTAATTTGCAAAGGAGCAAAAGCTCCTTGCAAAGCTCCTTTGACAGCTCTTAGGTAGTGCCAACAGTAACTTTAGTATAATTTGAAATAATGGAGGTAAGTATTACTTTAAAAAACTGATTAAAAATTAGGCTTATTGTACTAAGCACTTAATGTTGAGAACAGTTTCTAGAGCTTCATAAAAATGTTCACATTGCAGTATCTATTAACCAGCTCTGTTCTAAAAATTTCACAATGCAATAGCAAATATTTTAAGGGAAAAGAAAGAATTGTCCATAAAGCCACTTTCTGCTGACAAAACATTTTGCTTTCAAAACTGGGAAAATATCTGGTGGTCAGGAGAGGATGACGTACATGAAACATATGTGGCCAAAAGCTTAGGCAACTTACTCTCTTACCAAACCAAGTAACTCTAGAATGGTTTGAGTTGGAAGGAACCATAAAGATCATCTAATTCCAACCACTCTACCATGGGCAAGGACACCTCCCACTAGACCAGGCTGATCAAAGCCCCATCCAACCTGGCCTTGGACACTGCCAGGGATGGAGCAGCCACAGCTCCTCTGGGCAACCTGTGGCAGTGCCTCACCACCCATATAGTAAAAAATAAACCTTGAGACTTAATGTCAACATTACATGTAAACAACAGAGCACTGAAACAAAGAAACAAACAAACAAAACCAACACAAAAACCCCACCTTCAACCAAAGAAAAAAAACCCCAAACCATAACCAAACAAACAAAGCTAATCCCTACTTCCCCATTACAACACATATGCATGTCTGTATTTCAAATAAATTAGTCACACAGGCAATACAGTTAGTGATAGCATTGTGAGTAATCAGTCAGGAGTATTGTCAGGTGAGTAGAAAACAATGATAAAATGGCAAACAAATGGACAAGTGAGGATAAAAATAACAGAGATGATTTAACTAATCAAATCAGACAGAAAAATTGGATGTATACAAGCATAGCATGCACTCACAATTGCCTCATGCCGTAACACAAACAGGAAGGATACAGACTGTTCAGAAGAGAAAAATGGATTGTGTTTATAGAGGATATATGCCCCTAATGTTACTAATAATGACGTCTTAATAAGAATTGTACTATTTAGGAAGATTTTAACTTGAAGTATGTGTACTTGAACTATGTTAGCAGCAGGTGTCACCTGATGATAGAGCCCAAACATCCTAGGATCTGAAAGCTGTAATTCCTGCATCAGCTACTCGCTGACAAGTGGTGCTTTAGACACTTTTGGCATGTAATGAGAACCTAACAAAGGGCAGTTTGTAAAACAAAAACACCACAAACAAAGAGCCCTCAAGAACCACAAAAATAACCACAAAAACAACCACATGCCGCAGGATTGGATCTAATTGTCATGAGTTGCTTTTATTTAAATTATCAGCATAACAAAGTAACTTATTAATGTATTATTGGGTAAGTAGGCTGGTTCTTTGCAATGCAATCTGCAGAATTTTGGGGGATAAGCAGTTCCTATAAAATGCACTGCTTTTCACCTGAAGTGCCCTACATATAATTTGTTACAAGCCACTGAAGAAGGTATACACTACTCTATTTTACACATAGGAAAAAAAGAGGCCAAGAGAAAAATCTAGTTGTTTGAGGTCATGCTGTTACCGAGCTTCACTGTGGTCTAATTCTTTGTGGGTTGAGAACATCAAGCTTTTTCTTATCTATGGCACTACTTACGTAAGTTGTAAAAGCATTTTAAACAGGATCATTAAAGAAAGTCTACTGTTTCATAATCCAGCTTCCAGAAGGAAAAGAGCTAGACAGGAGGGTAACCGAACCTTACCTGATCCACAATGGAAAGATGTCGAGCTTCTTCTAATTTCGTATGTAGAAGAGGGTTTGGGTGTATAGCTTCAGGAGATAAATATGGCCTGTATCCAGAGAGCAGGTAAGAAAGACAAATTCCTGAAGGTCCATTTCCTATTAAATAAATAAGTTACTGTTTTAGTAAAAACATCAATAAACTAAGTTTGTATGTCACTAAATAAGCAGCAACAAAATCGTATAAAGTAGTGTAACGCAATACTGCCTGACTGAAAGCAGGTTACAAACTTCGCAGTGAAATAAAGCCTACCACCGGAACTTCCTCCAAATAAACTGAGCAAAATCTCTTTCAGATAACAAGAAACATAGGACTGTTTACACCATAAATCAAAATGCATATATAGGAGTTTCATAATTTAGTATCTCAAATTCCCTAATCTCGTGTGAAAATAGTCTGATGGTAAGATCTGGTCTGTCAGTCACAATGATATCTGAAAATTATTGCCATCTTACAACTTTGCATTCCCATTTACACTGGGTACTGTAAAACACAAAACAGAAAGACAACCTAGAGCGTATGCTCTTCAGGTCTACCCACAAAATGAAGCAGAAAGCTGAAGATGCAAGTCAGAGAAGACACAGACAGCACAACAGCAGCGTAAAAGCTTAGTGAAGACAGATACAGTAAGATAAGTGGTAAAGTACACGACACTCATGTGAGACCACATTCATTGTTCAGCAACAATATCAATTCAAACATCTTTCTATATCCTTTTTGTAACATTTTATAATTCATCTATATGCATTGTTGCAATTTTAGTAGATTAACTTGTTTTCAGAATGTTATTAGAGGTGTGAAATGGATGGTCCAAAAACATTACCATAAGGTATTTCTACTTATTTGACTAGTATTAAACAAAGTAGGGGACCATATTTACAACATGCAAATACAGAAATAAATGTTCACATTGCGAAGTCAGACATCAAAAGCTAGGGAAAACTGAAGTCAGAAAGTATGTGCTACGATACAGAATTTAAACATGTAACTATGCATTGTTATTTCTATAGCTCTTCCTCCTCATTAACTGAATGAAAGCACAGTGTTCTCCTCATAAGGTTCTATTGAGTATTTTGTCTTTGTTTTCCATCTAGAGTGGTACACATGGTTTCCTACACAGTATTCAAATTCTGGACTAAAGATAAAGTTTCTAATTTATTCATGGTTATTATGTAGTGCTCATTGTTAGGTTGATAGCTTTTACCTTCTACTGTTTCAACTTTTGACCTCAAGTGTTCATCTGCCAATTTCCTGTTTCCCATCACCTTAGCACACACTACTTCCATCACCTTGTTAACAATCTCACTTTTCCAATGCCTGTCTCTTCTCTCTTTTCCAGTTTCCCAGGCTCTAAATGCCCCATCAGTTTGCTGAGACCCTGTTTATTCTCAGTCTCTTCATACATCAGACCTATTTTTCATCTTCCACCAGAATATACTCATGACTCTGGTCTCCAGTGGCAGTATATTCCATATCTTATTACAGTGCTGTGTGCATAGACCGGTCACAGCCATGGGCTACAAAGAAAATCATGTAGGCTCACTGTAGAGGAGTTCTTCAAAGACTAAGACTGCTAAGCTGCAAGAAACCTTCAATAAGGACATTTTCTCTGAAGGCCTAGAACCCAAATAAGTATGTGAGAATGGCTCCTGCCAAACAATCTAGCTTTTGCACCTAAATATGGAGGCAAAAATAGAGGCATAAATAGAGGCATTAGAGCACCTGTGTACTCCAAGGACCATAAAGCACGGGTAAAAGACTCTCTAGAAAGCCGTGAGTTTCTGTCACTGGGATCTTCTTCTGTAATTAAGGGTTTAAACAGTGGTGATCCTGCCTATATTATTCCCCAAATCACTTGGATTCCTATTTTGCCGTTTACAAAAACAATTGTAAAGAATCTTTCAGACAGTGAAAATGCTCTTCCTTGCTCTCACACTGTTCTACACTCCTACAAACAGATCAGTGTGAGATGGCTGCGTACACTTCAGCCCAGGAATTTGAAGCTTATAACAGATACAAGCCCCTCCTGTCACCCACTTGCCACATCAGATGGATGTGAAAGAGAAGCCTAGCAATATACTGAAACCATCCATAACAAAATCATATGAAGTTGTGAAAACACTGTAATCATACCTATAGTTCATAAGAATTTACTCAGTCCTGGGAATGCTTAACTATTTTAGAACTATATCTCAGTTTTTGTTTCTTTTTACAAGTGCATAGCTGGATTTTTTGGGGGTTTTTTTTCCTTCTGGGGTGTAAAGGGAGTTAGTCACAACAGAAAGAGAAAAATGTGTGTCATATCCAAGTATTCCACACTAAAGATAATTCCTACTGGATAAGAATAAAAAGAGCCAAACGGGTAACAAAAGCTGCCAAAACAAAGGCCAGCAAAATTACTGAGGATGGGATAATGTCAAAGTGAATTACTGTCACTGGCCACTTCCCTAGGACCATCCAGAGAACTGATCCAAACCCAGTTCCTATTTTTTGAGCAGAGTAAAGAAATTCCCTTGTGGATAATGCCCTCAAGGACATAAAAAATGAAGGTTCAGCTGCAAGGTCTGCCATTAGACTTGCTATGATTTTCTCAGAAAATCCTTGGCGGGGGGGAGGGGAAGGAAGGGAAGTAATCTTTTTTAAATGGGAAATATATACTTGAGGAGTTTTCTCTTCATTCACACACAGTGCCTCCAATACTAAGAGATTATACAAACTTTAGATATACAATCAATATATCCCCAAGCTCCACGGCCCTGCTCACTTTAAGATCAGTTAACAGTAACAGAAGCTTCTCCTGATCAACAGTGAACTAGAGTACAATCATCTTTACATATGTATCTAAATTTAAAGCAAACAATCAACTTCAAACATTGTAACAGCCTTCTTATTTGGATGAAAACTTAAAACATTGTGTTTACACAGTAATGATCAAAACTAGTACAGGAGATGAGTTTAGCACAGAATAACCTCCAGGATTAAGAGCTCCAGCATGAAATTCTTCAATTCCAACCCAGTCAAAAGGCATGTATCCATTTCTTCCCAATTTCTTGAAGGCAAGTACAGCACGGAAGTTTCTTAGCATTACCACATCAGCTTAGTACTCCATGCAGAACCACAGTACAACATGCAGCACAAGCTTAGAATCAAATCTTAAATCAGGCATCGTGTAAAGTAAAAGGGAATGGTAAAGTTAAAGAAAGGGGAACATAAGTTATTGTTCCATCACTAAGTTAACTGCTTACATATGTACCCTCTTTTTCTTTCTGATTGATAAAATAGTGCAATGAGAAGATGGTGGCACTAGGAAGCTACGAGTATGTTTAACTCCAGCTAAACAAGAATCACATGGAGTAGAGAAAGTATGTGTGTGGGAGGATGACTATTTTTCTATTCTTCTACTACATTACTGAGTCATCTTAGATCCCTTATAAGGCTCTTCAGACAGCCAATGACTTAGTGATAATAGGCCGCCAATGGAGAAGATCAGCATGTGAAGAAGTGTCTCAAGAATGTGTAAAAAAGCATTTGGGGAATGTATTTATTTTTCAAGGAAAAGTACTCAAGGCAGCTGCACTTGATGTCAGCACATAGAAAGGTGCTCTAGACAAAAGACATATTGAGCACAGGTATTTGCATAATGCATGTCTGCAAAACTAAACAGTGAAAACTGAGTCATTAACCATATGGCAAACCTGTACTAAGGTTGACAAAATGCCAGGAAACTGTTGCTCTTCAACTATGATGCAGAACTCAGCCAATGATTCACGGCTGTCACATCTATGCAAGCCTATTACATGAGCACTATTTTAAGCTATCATGAAGATAGCTTTGAGAACAGGCACTGTACAAATACCAGCCTTTCAAAGTTGTGGAGTGTGAGTGCCTTACACTGAAACATCATTCTCTGGAATCACTGCTTGTTTGCAGGTATAGTTATAGCTGTTGGTTTGCTGTAGTCCCAACAGCTTTGGACTAGATTACTGAAAACCTCCTTTACTCCAGATCTTTCCTTTATCCCCTCATCAAGTCATGGCAGTAAGAAGCTGGTGACCAGCTGTTGCTGAAAAACCTTGGCCCAATACAAATCATCCTGGCACTCTTGATTAAGCTGCACACCCAAGGAGCCTGCTTCCTCTGCTGTCCTGTCATTAAGTAAGATTTTACAAGTACAAGCCCTTAACTATTTAATCAAAACTACAATTTATTGTTCTAAACAGGTTGAACTGATTTGGATTAATTCTGGAAAAGACGGGACAATAATCACACATGACAGATGCAACAAAGAAAAAGGCAATTAATGAGAGAGGTTAGCATCTAACCAACACACAGCATACATTTTACGTTCAATGTCCCATCTGAGCCCAAAAATTTATACTGGTGCACCATCAACAACCTCCACACAAGCTGAAGTAGACATACTGCATTAATGAAACCTTAATGTGATCAACACAATTCTTCTGTTAAGGCTCACATATCTTCTGCCAAACAATGCAGCTCATTTTTTCAAAGCACAATTCTGAATTCAAATATACTCCAACAGTAAGTTCCTTAACACAATTTTATGGTAGGGCTGTTCATCATAACAACTGTATTACGCTAACAAACATCTTCACTGTAAGGATGCTAAACATTAGTTATTTAATGGTAAATGACTTTATGCAACAGGTCTATGAAGGCAGTGACAGAGAATCTTAAAAGTGAAAAAACTCACCTATTACCACTACAGGCAGAGTAAGAAGGGAGTCCCCAGGCAGAACAGTTTCTTCGATTAAAGGCATTCTTTTAATCTTCCTCCCGAGGCTGTCACCAAAATACTGGGCAAAGGAATTCAAAAGCTGCCCTTCAGCTTCAGGGTTGCTGTAACTTCTAATTAAGAAGGACAGATGGGAGGAAACTACAATGAAACAGTTGAACTGTTGTCAGAACATTCTTTTCAAAAATAAAGTTTTGATGTTTTACTTTAAGAGCTACGGAATTGGCAAAACCAAGACCAAACCAGATATGCTTACATCCAAACTACAGAATTCTAGTTTTCAGCACGGCTTTTCTAACAGAAGATTTTTTAAAAGTCTACTTTCTCCTAGGACGTCTACAGAAGGATAACAATAAGACACAGATGGCTCTGCAGATATGCAGATTTCTAATTTTGGTTTCTACAAAGCCGAAGTATAACCAACAAACATTATTTCGATCCCACACACAGCAGAACTCATTCCTCATTATCCTCATCAGAAGAGGAGAGATACACACTGCCTAGCCAATTAACATCCTTAAGGCCAGCCAAAGGCCGAAGGAGCAGCTAAGGTACCACGGCAGCCGCTGCCATCCCTTCCTTACCGCTGAGCAGCACAGGGGACTTCACCTCAACAAATTTCCCTCTGGGTAGAAGTAACGCTTGTTAAAACTGGCAGTGGCAGGAAGACGGAGAAAAGTGTTAACCCTGTAAGGCCTAGACACAGCTCATTTTGCCACTGTTAAAAAACCACATTTTTCGAAATGGAATCGCCATGCAGCCAGGTCAGCTACTGCGCAGCAGACTGCTTTCACCCCGAGTCATTTTCCTCAATTTCTCAGTCCTTTCTCTGCAGCATCTGCTTAGGTTTCTCTCATAACTCTTCACCATCTAAATGTGCTTCTAGACTACGAAGACTTGTTTTATCTTGTTTGCTGTTTAATTATTTAGAAGCCCTTTCTGAAGCCTTTCCAGGTCATTGAAGAAGCATGCACCATCAGTTCAGCTAGAAAGGCACGGGTAAATTAAAGATCGCCTATAACTGGAACTTATTTTAGTAAGTCTTCATAACAAAGACTTATCTTTTTTAATTAAAAGTACCCCAATCAATTGATCTAAATATTTTTCTCTTACAAGTAGAATTTTTATTATTAATAAATAAAAGTACTCTTAATTGTTGCCTAAGAATCTCTGTATCTTAAAGCTATTCTAGTATTTTAGGAGTTATTTTTTACACAGGACCAAAAGCATATGATGCTGATCCAATTCCCACAGCCTTCAAGAAGCTGCATACACTACATGGTCCTACAACTCCCACAACACTGAAGGTTCCGCTATGTATTTAGAGAGCCTTTCCTCAATGGGGAAGTTGGAAGTAAACTAGAGTCAACGCTGTACAGTAATAACAGCACTAGCACATGCTGTTAAACACCTCTCCGGTGGTTACTTCCTTGTTAAAAAGGGTGGGGAGCTACTCTAAGTTTATATTTATTTCAGAAAGCAAGAACTTGACATGTGAATTTTTTGTACTACAACTACAAGGAAAGTTTGCAAATTACATGCTTACTGTTTGAGTACAGCTGTACATTAGCACTTCGTGATCCTGGAGGCGCATAAAATACAACAGTGCGAGTTAGATTAAGGCAAGAAGGCGGCAGAGAGAGGATATCTAATTACCACACTGCTTTTTCACCTCCGTTTTTAGGCTGGTACAAGTAAGACTACATTATTCTCCAGAATTTGCTCAAAGTTAACTAAGGCAATACTATCCTATGCTTTGCAAAAGACAGGCTTAAAGGAAGTATGCCTGGTTTAGGGTGGTCTTAATATACTTGCTGTGCTAGCTGGAAGATAAAAACCAAAAGAAACATTTCAAAGCCTCTTTTATGGGATATCTGCACAGTGCTGTAGGTTACAATAGAATCTTTAACAATAAAAAAGTTGCTTCTGTGAAGCTCGAACAGTGTATCACAAACTACCCAACTGTTTCAGAATGTAATTTTGCATAGAAATATCTGCATACAACACACAGTTTCTCAGCTACTGCGCATGCAAAGCAGAAGAAGGACTGCTGTCAGGAGTACATTCTTCCTCTGCAGGAACAATATAACACAACTCAAGAAGATCTTAAGCTAGGGGCCACCATCTTCCTAACCTCTGAACAGCACTGAAAGCCACCAAATACCGTAAGTTTTTACCTTAATAAAACCCTCACGGTAGACAGCTTTGCAGTGGTGGGGATTTGGTAAAGATACCTACAGCTCTAGTCCTGCAGAGATGCAAGTGAGACACAGATGAGTCAGTCCCAAAGCTGATGCTTAGCTTATACTGGTCATACCAAATAACCTCCAGTATTACATTCTGTCAAACACCTAGATTCTAAACACGTTAACAGGAAACTCGTTATATAAAAGGAATTCATATTTGGTCTCAAGTTGACGCTTTGGGAAACAAATGTAATGCTGTCAGGTCGCTGGGGATTTTATAAGTAACGCAGCAGAGCAATGACCGTCGGGATCGGGCTCTCCGAGGGGGCAGCGCTACCAACCCCGAAGCGAAACCGAGCATCACCAGGCTCCGGCTCCCTCCCTGCCCGCGCTGCGCCTCCGCGCTGCCCAAGGTCACACCACACCTTCCCGGGCGACACCTCCGTCCCCTC